ACAACCAGACCTATTGAATGTGGTACAGTCATTGAGCTCTATAGTAGATACTGTTTTATCTTTTAAGAACTATTTTATACAATATTACAATAGTTTTTGCTCTTTGAGAGATCTTGCTGTTAGCTTCCCAACCAAATATTTTATTTCACTGACTATGAATTTCAAAACCAATAATTCTGTTGGTTTTTTTCTGTCACTGAATATCATGTCATTTGTTTTTTTCAAATTTACTGATAACTTATTGAGATGAAACCACATTTGTTTTTCATAAATTCTGTTTGTAAGAACTTCAACATCTGTTCAATGTTTTTACCAGAGTAAAAATAAAAAGCGATCATATCCTGAGAACAGACACAAGCTCACTATCAATGTGGGATTAATCTCCTAACCAACTCCACCTTTGTGTCGTACCTGTCTGTGTCCCAGGTTCTCTCCCTAATATTCTCAAGGAGGCCCAGGTTCCTCTGGTGGACCAGGACCAATGTCAGCGCCTGCTTCCTCAGTACACCATCACCTCCAGCATGCTATGTGCTGGATACCCTGAGGGTGGAGTTGACACATGTCAGGTAACAGCTCACCTGGACTCAGGTACAGTCAGATATTCAGATGGACTCAGGTACAGTCAGATGTTCAGATGGACTCAGGTACAGTCAGATACTCAGATGGACTCAGGTACAGTCAGATACTCAGATGGACTCAGGTACAGTCTGATATTCAGATGGACTCAGGTAAAGTCTGATACTAAGATGGACTCAGGTACAGTCAGATATTCAGATGGACTCAGGTACAGTCAGATGTTCAGATGGACTCAGGTACAGTCAGATGTTCAGATGGACTCAGGTACAGTCAGATGTTCAGATGGACTCAGGTACAGTCAGGTAATATTAAGTTAATCTGTTGTGGTTTTTGTGTATTTGATAAATAATGTTAAGTTGTTTACAGGGTGACTCTGGGGGTCCACTGATGTGTCTGGAGGATGGACACTGGACTGTGATTGGTCAGTCTCCCCCACCTCTCCACATTCACACACGTGGACACACACATTGAGGTATGACRGAGCTTCTGTCTTTTTGTTTCCTGTCAGGTGTAACTTCATTTGGGGATGGCTGTGGGCATCCTCAGAGTCCTGGAGTCTATGCTCGAATCTCTGCCTTCATCTCCTGGATTGCTCAGAGTAGACGCCCCTCCTTTTCTTCTTCATCACTTTGAACTTCATCTTCATTCTGAAATCAGAAAAAAAGACAGATGGACTGGTTCCCAACTGATTGAACTGTCATCGAAGGTCGAATAATTAAAGTTTTTTTTGACTGAAACAGTGTCAGGGTCTTTGGTAAATGAACTCAGGAGCAGACAGACTCAAAGATCAAAAAATAAAAATGCTTTATTAAATTAAAACAAAAAGCTGACAAGGCAGCATAACTGATGAGTAACAGGACACAGAGAAACACAGGGAGACAGGTGACTGAGACTGATGGAGAAATCCATACAATGAACCAGCACAGACTGAATAAATACTGCAGCAACAGAGGCTGMGTGGACAGTGGAGACAGCTGAGTAATTAAAGAGTTTAGATCAAGACTGTTAAAAATGTAAAACTGTGTGTGAATTGTCTAAGAAACATTTTAAATCTCACTGAGAAAAAACTGTCAGCTCAGCAGATTCATTCAGAACAGCTCACCTGGGATGATTCCTCAAGATGCAGACAGTAGATTTGTTCATAAATATCTACGTAAAGTTGAGCATGATGTGTGGAACAATGTCAGCTACTGTACCACAGGATGACATCATCACAAGAAGAACTGGGAGCAGTGTGGTTGTTAACAGAACAAATTACAGTCATATATTTTATTGTGGTTCCTGAGTCAAGCTCTGCAGCTGAAAGAGATCACTTCATGATCCTAAAATAGAAATCCTCTGTCCCACAGCAGAAACTGTCCATTGAGGTGCTGCAACTCTCTTCACTTCAGCTGCTGTGACGACCTCAATTTACCACCTAATAAATGTTTATCTTATCTTCAACCATGTAACAGAGTTCTAAGTTCTACCAAACTCCCAAGTTCCTGTGTGTTTACACCCATTTATTAAAGACGTGTAAATCACTCTGAAGACATCAGACATGTGTACACCAACACAATCACTATTCCTTTGCATGCGGCAAACACATTTTTACTCCCATCTACTCATTTAGAAAGTTTTCTCATTCATTTTCTATTTAAGTCATCATTTTCCTGCATCTGGGAATCATTTCTGATTGGACAGAGAGGAAAACCTGAGAATTACAACGAGTCTCACCTGTCAGGGGAGGGGTCTCACCTGTCAGGTGAGGGGTCTCACCTGTCAGGGGAGGAGTCTCACCTGTCAGCAGGAGGGGTCTCACCTGTCAGGGGAGGGGTCTCACCTGTCAGGGGAGGAGTCTCACCTGTCAGGGGAGGAGTCTCACCTGTCAGGGGAGGGGTCTCACCTGTCAGGGGAGGGGTCTCACCTGTCAGAGGAGGGGTCTCACCTGTCAGCGGGAGGAGTCTCACCTGTCAGGGGAGGGGTCTCACCTGTCAGGGGAGCAGTCTCACCTGTCAGCGGGAGGGGTCTCATCTGTCAGGGGAGGAGTCTCACCTGTCAGGGGAGGGGTCTCACCTGTCAGGGGAGGGGTCTCATCTGTCAGGGGAGGGGTCTCACCTGTCAGGGGAGAAGTCTCACCTGTCAGGGGAGGAGTCTCACCTGTCAGGGGAGGGGTCTCACCTGTCAGCGGGAGGGGTCTCATCTGTCAGGGGAGGAGTCTCACCTGTCAGGGGAGGGGTTTCACCTGTCAGCGGGAGGGGTCTCACCTGTCAGGGGAGGGGTCTCACCTGTCAGGGGAGGGGTCTCACCTGTCAGCGGGAGGGGTCTCACCTGTCAGGGGAGGGGTCTCACCTGTCAGCGGGAGGGGTCTCATCAGGGGGAGGGGTCTCACCTGTCAGGGGAGGGGTCTCACCTGTCAGCAGGAGGAGTCTCAGGTGCACTTAGTTCCACATTTGTTGAGATGTGTGAAATAAGAGGCGTGGTTTTATACGTCTGAATATTTTTGTGTGTACGTACTTTGTGTGCGACTGTTTCACACATGAGGCCCAAGTTGCTGTGTAGATATTAGTGATGGGTCTTCTTGTGCTGAAGCTTGTGTCGTTAAGGGTTAGTGACGTCACAGGTGACCTCTGAAGCCTCACTGGTCCAGGGGAGGATTCAGGTATTGGCTTGTTTCATGAACTAAATGGATTTTTTTTCATTTGACCTTTATTTATACAGGTAGTCTCATTGAGATCCAGAATCTCATTTCCAAGTGTGACCTGTTCAGTTGTTGACCTGTTAAAGGTTTTCATGTCAGTTTGAAAACAGACATGTGGACAACGGTTTTAAAACTGAGTCCAAACACAGAAGAAACAAAACCCTTGTCTTCAACATACTGTAAATAGTCACCATGACCCTAGTGTTCATACTGGGAGCATGATAGCTCAGTGGTTAGCACCAACACCTCACAGCTACAAGGTCCTGGGTTCTGACCCGGGTCTTTATGTGAAGTTTGCATGTGTGGATTTTCTCCCACAGACCAAAACCATGTTGCCTTCAGGTCCAAGCCTCTCTTGCAATTTTAGTGGGATTTGCCTGATGAAGTCAAATAAAATGCACCCCGTGGTGTTTTTTTAACACATCATTGATTTAAAAAAAATGAGGTGTTTATTTGAAAAATACAAAAGGAAAAAATACTTTAATTATCTTTTTAAAAACACCAATTTATCCAAAATAACAAGAATAAACCACAAAATAAACCAAAGTACTTTCATTTTATTGGACAGCCAAGTAGATGAAATGACAACCGTTTGACCAGCAGATGGAGTTGTGAGCACATGAAGCTTCAAGAAATGAACCTTTTTTTGAACCAACAGCCTATATACCACAGACATCCGGTCCAGCACTGGGTGCCACTCCCAACACTTCCAGTTCACAGTCAACACAGTGTTAGCAAAATATTTTTTCACCCGACAACAACTCTTAATGATGTCCACAGGACAGAATGATCATATTACATGTAGCAACTTTAACACAGGAGACGTACAGGTCCAGACAAGTGGAAAAAAATCACTCCAAAGTGGAGTAAAGACATAAAAACAAAGGAAAGACGTTTGTGTTTATGGTTCCAGAATTGAGCCTTTTTCACTATTCCTTGGCTGCTTGTTGTGTGAATTTTTCCCGTAGAGCTGTGACACTTATATTGTTGGAAAGAGCAGAGTCTGGGCTTTAAATTGATGGGCTACTTGTATGGTTTGGATCGTTTTCCCCGACGTTAGTGAACTGAAAACATGATTATCAGGAGGAGGTTCTGCTGCTCTGTTGTCTCTATAAGTCTGATCTGTCAACAGGAGATAAATCATCTGAAAACTCAGTTTTCAAACATATAAACCTGTAACGGTTCACCTGTAGAGGGCACTAACACACCTGGAAGTGTCTGCACCATAGATATAAATACATAGAAGTCTTGTTGACTGTGTCGGTCTGCTGCTGTGACGACCTGTGTGTCGGCCATATTGGAGGAGGCACCGCTGCGCTGTGAACTGCTACAGATGAATGGACTTTGTTTCATAAATTATATTTTAACAGAGATTTATGTTAGTACAGCACCATCATTTATTCAAACACACACACACACACACACACACA